TAAGAAGGTACATAAACTTCAAAAAATATGCAGTGTAAGACCTGTCAGCAAGCACAACCAGGGACGGCACAGAGTGATACTCAGTGCACCTGCAGAGGTAAACATCTGGGTGACACGGGCTCCCCAAGGAAAAAGCTGTTGCTGTACATACTGGCGACCAAACAAACCTCCCATCAACAGAAACGATTCCTACAAACCCTAAAAATGGTAGTGCTTTTGAGCTGTGCCACAGCTAAATCTTGAAAACAACCCAATTGTCCATCAACTGTGGAATGGATAAAAAAACAAAAGTGGCATTTCTACACAATGGAGTATTACTCAGCTATATAAAAAAGATAAATTTGAGGCTTTTGTAGATAAATGAATGCAACTGGAGACTGTACTAGTAAGTGAAATAAATCAGACCTCTATGTGCAAACATTGCATCATTTTGCTAGTGTAAGAACCTGAAAGAGCAAATAAAATCTGAAAGGTACAATAGGTACTATGAATGGGAAAGAAAAACTGGGAGGAAAAGGATAAAAGGAAAAAGATATATACATGAATATATGAAGGATAGTTTGGATAATTGTACTGCCAATTTCTGCTGTTTTTTGTTTTTTTTGCGGAACCGGGGATTGAACTCAGACCTTTGCGCTTGCCAGGGAAGCGCTTATTCCACTGAGCCATCTCCCCGGCCCCTCTGCTAGTCTTTTTTTTTTTTTTTTTTTTTTAAATTTGTTTATTTATTGTGTGTGGCCAGCTCAGCCCACCAGGGGGCGGGGCTGGCTGGCATGTAGTGCTGGGGGATGGAACCGCCATCCACCATCCCTGTGCTTTGCTAAGCTTGTTCTAAGTAGGTGCTTTAGACCACTGAGCCATCTCACCAGCCTCTCTGCTAGTCTTTTGAAACAAGTTAATGCTTTAATTTTTTTCTTGTAACTTTTTTTGTTGTTATTTTTAAACCAGTATTTCAGGTTTATATCTGGTAACCTGAGCAACTAATTTGAAGATAACATCATGCAATACAGCAACCACTGTTGAATTTCTGTAACATTGAATTTCTAGAACTTTAATTAAATTTTGTTTTGTTTCTTTTTTTTACTACTTTGTATTCCTTAAAACATAAAAAAAAATGTTTTTTTTAATCCCTAGAAAAGACAAGATTCCTGGGCAATCGACTCGGGTCCCCTTCTGTCCTTCTCTTGAACAGCTTTCTTTCCCTCAATAAATATATTCTGCTTTTAACCTCCATCGTTTTCTAAAATTTATCTTTTGATTTTAGAGAACACTAACATCCCAGGCATCTTTTAGGTTGACAGTTTCATTCTCCTGTATTATTAGCATATGCCTTTACCTTTTTTTTTTCCTGGTTGAGTTAGGGTCTTTAGATTCGCTTCAAACTCACTACTGTAGCCCAGGTTGTCTTCAAATTTGTGGCAGCCCTCCTGTCTCATCTTCCCAAGGGCCGTGATCATAGGTGTGCATCACCACAACTAACTCTAGCATATGCCTTTAATCCTAGCATTCTGGGAGGCTAAGGCAGGAGGATCATAAGATTGGGCACAGCCTGGGTACTTTACTCAGACCCTGTCTTAAAACATAGTAGTGCACACCTGTAATCCCAGCACTGAGGAGGCTGAGGCAGGAGGACTGCCACAAGTTCGAAGCCAACCTGAGGTACAATAGTGAGTTCAAGGTCAGCCTGAACTTCCTAGTGAAACCCTGTCTCAAAAAGACTAAATCAATAAATCATAAAAGGTCAGTGGGTGATAAGGATTAGTTCAGTGCAAAGGCCTTAGGTTCAAACCCACTACCATTAAACAAAAGGGGTGCCCCAGAGACAGATATGGAAAAGAAACAGCATGGAAAGCTTTTGCCTGTTTGTCCTCTAGTTTACCTTTTGTTCTGAGCAGTCCTGCTATGACAAACATATTCCATTAATAGATGTTTCTGACCCATATAAAAACTAGCAGATGCATAATTAATGTTGTTTAAATACAGTCAACAGAAAGAACAAAGAAAACTCTGTGGAAAGATTCCTGCTGCCTCCATAACCCACCTTAACTGATGGGTTGTTTATTACTTAGCTCCCAATATTAAATCTGAGGAAAAATCACCAAGGTATCAGCCACATAAGAACGGTAGAGTTTAATGTTAGTTCACTGGGTGCCAAAAAGGAGAAAGAGTCCAACTGGAGTCAACCAAACCCACAAAGCAATGACAGCTTGGCTCATTTCAGAGTAAAATTCTTATTCTTCCTCTTGTTCCAGGCAGGGTGCCCCCCTATAACTTGCATAGTTTCTCAGGTCTACTCCTTCCTCTGCTCACAGGACTGGCATGGTCAAAAAATTCTCTTATCAAATATCACAGTGTCTGTGGCTCCCGAACTCCCTTACACAACTCTTACACATTCCTCCCTCTTTTCAGCCTCATAATCCCAGTAATTCACACTTGGCCTCAGCCAAATGGACACAGGTGCTTTACCATGTCCTTCATCTTCAACCTAAGTGCTGTTGCCCAGGCCGATCTCAGACCTCACTTCACATCTTGGTTTGTCGCCATCTTTTCACCTTCTCTACATTCTCACAGGGCGGGATCTGCACAACTTAAAGAGTTTATTGCTGTCCTCTTGCTGCTTTCTCTCTTGGGTAGACACCGTATTTGCTGAACAGACTATGAGAACAGGAAAGAGCTTGACTAATACACATCTAAGAACCTTCACAAAGTATATAGTTATTGAGGACTGTAGAAAGACAAAGAATGAGTGAATGAAATTCTGCTAGCCTGTATATTTGAAGTATCTGAGGTACTAACCAAACCTTTATTTTTGTTGTATATTCAGAGATTTCTTAATTTTTTAAAAATTTTATTTATTTGTGTGTGTGTGTGTGTGGCCAGCTCAGCCCACCAGGGGGCGGGGCTGGCTGGCATGTGGTGCTGGGGGATCAAACCGCGGTCCCTGTGCTTTGCTAAACTTGTTCTAAGTAGGTGCTTTAGACCACTGAGCCATCTCACCAGCCCAATAATTTTTTGCGGAACTGGGTACTGAACTCAGGCCCTTGCACTTGCCAGGGAAGCACTTATTCCACTGAGCCATCTCCTCGGCCCCTCAGAGATTTCAACAGATCATTCTATCAGAGCATTAAGTTAAACTTGTATTCTGAAGTAACTTAGTCATCAAGACGCCAAGTCTGTGTAAGAGAAACCACTAACAAAGTGAAATAAGATGCACAAATGACGTCACTTGTATGTTATAGAATGTTTCTTTTACATCAAAACCACCTACTGTGCCAAAAAAGCAGACTGTCAGGCCCAGCCCACGCTGGTGGTGTATCAGAACCTTTCATGATGCGGCAAAGGGCCTCAGACGGTTGAGCTACACAAGCCATTCTTCTACCTGTTGAAGATGAATCATCACTGCACTCCAGAGCTGTCACCTAGGTCTTGTCCACATGTAAAGGTTTTACGTAGGAAGCAATTTTTTAACTTGGGATCCAAAAATCTTCTATAGAAGTAAGGGCTCTACCCTGTGGTTTATGGCAGGTTGTTTCCTCTGCCATAAAACTGCATCACCAACTGTAATGATAGCAGAAGTACAAAGCCTGTCCAAGACATACACTTTCTAAGAGGGTCAGAGCATACAGAATGGGAGGTCTGTAGGATTAGACAGGGAAAAATTCACACATCTCCTTTCACTACTGTTAGGGCTTGTATCTAGACATCCCCCAAAGCCTCAAGAGCTCATAGGTGGGGCTTTCTAGAGCTGGCTGCAACTAGGGTGTGTGATAATGGAATTAAGGGTATGTAGTACTAAATTAGCCCACTGATTGCTTTAGCAGTTCTGGTTGTGGATAATAAAAAGGTATGGGTAGCAGTATCCCAAAGGCTTGTGGCTTGGATGAAATAAAAGGGAAAGAGAAGCCAGTTGCTTTGCTGCCTCCTGCCTGTTTCACTATGAACTATTTCTCCTCCGCCATCCCCCTCTGCCACGCCAGCCTCCCTGGGAGCCAGCTGACTACAGACTGCAACCTCTACAAACTGCGAGCCAGAAGAAGCCTTTAGTCTTTTAACTGGTGGGCACTGGGTATTTTGCCTCAACAAAAAGAATAAGATAATTATACTTTGACAACAACCTTCATACCTATAATGTGGATATGAATAGAAATTAATTTTCCCATCATATCAGAGCTATTGCAAATATCACCAAATACATTTTAACTCATATTATTTTGAAAGTAGGGTAGTTGTCAGACTTCCATTAATAGAAAGCAGACAGGACTGGATATACAGCCTAACATGTGCAAAGCCTTTGGTTCAAAATTGTATATTAAAAAAACAATCTACTGCAAGGTTTTATCATGTTCTCCAGAGGTCTTAATTTATCAAGACCTTTATTATAGACAGAGAAAAATAAAGGTCATAAATTAAGACCTGTGAAAGTAAAGGTCTTCATGAATTAAGACCTCTCTGAAGAGCATGATAAATATTTTCTTTTTCTTTTTTTTTTTTTTTTTTTGAGCATGGTAAATCTTGTAACAGAGTGTCTTTTTAAAACCTCATCATCCACTTGGAAAGAACTTCTCGTGTCACAGTCTTTCTGTTTAATGACCACGGTTCACCTTGCTTAGTGGGACTCCTGAGTTCCCTGTGAGTAACAAGCATAAGATAGGGGAAAAAAAGCCCTGCATTCCAACACTGTCTTAAACCTCCAACAACTACAGAAGGGTCATTCAGACCCCAGGACCACACCAAGGCGTTAATTAGGCTGATGAAATCCACAGAAATGTGTGGATTCAGCATAATCGGGTTTGTGCCGTGGACTATAGTTCTAGATACGTGAGCAGCAGGGCAAATGGAAGCACCATCGGAGTTAAGTCATACGTGTCATGGAGTGTGTGTAACATGGCCATTGTAATGATCAGCGATTAAAAGTGCATCTCATTAAAAAAAAAAAAAACCTCATCAGAGAAGTGTCATATTTCTGAGTAAGACAATAGTTTAAAGATAATTTTTCTTTCCCAATTTAACTTGTACACTTGAACCCCAAATGGTTTCTTGTGGATATCTGGAAAATTGATACTAAAATACATCTGAAGGAATACAATCAATTTTTAAAAATATTAGAATGAAAATGTGGCCTATCAGTCATCAAATTTACTGCAATTACTGCATAAAGACTATCTGCATACTTGAGGCACAAGTGTAAAGAAAACCACTTATTTTAATAACAAATGTTTCCCAAGTTTCATTTTTGACAATGTACAGATACTTCTAGGACAATGTATGATTAAAAACATTATTCCATAATTCAGTCAATGCTGCTTTTGATCATCCTAAGGACAAGGTAACCAGGACAGCACCAAGCTTCTAGAAGTTCAAAGATCCCAACGGATAAAGATGCAGCTCCTAATTTTCTTCTGTGAGCAGATCGTCTGCTTTCAGCTGGGCCCTCCTGATGCTCTCCAAGTTCAGCTGTTGATATTTTCTTTTGAAAAAGCCACACTGAAACAAAAAGAGGGGAACCCCAATTATAGGCTTAGAAGAGCCATCTGTTTTTAAAACTCATCATTCTGATCACTGCATAAATAGCCTGTAGACCCTCTGTTTCTCATATTTCTCCTCCCTTCCTCTCCCCTCCTCTGAGTCTTTCCCTGAAAGCCAATCCTTCCAGATTCTTCTTCAAAGAGGTACTTATTCCTCAATCAGTGCTAACCACTAACTTCCCTGCTTACTCTGAACTCCCAGAGGACTCAAACCTTTTTAACTTAATTCTGCATACTAGTATAGTTCTGGCTACAGTGCATATAATCTTATTCATGTAAGAATACTCAGTACTGTCTACCATGCTGGGCATAGAAAGAGATCAAGTGTGGTCTCCTACATCAAGATCAGAATCTAGCAGGAAAGGGAATGGTTACAATACAGCTCTTGGAAAGGTTTTCAGGAAGGAGCTCAGAAGACAAGCATATAACCCAACCCAGAGGATCCAGAGACGTCTACATTGAGGTGAAACAACAGGGAGAGGCACTTCTGGCAAAAGGGAGTAGCCTATGCACATGCAGAAAGGCTGAATCCATTTAGTGAATCATTCAATTTGTCTAGAGGAAAGAGTAAAATAAGAGATGGAGAGGAAAAGGGTAGAGACCAGAGAGTAGAGGATCTTTTGAGACAGGAAGACAAGAAAAGGATTTAGGGTTAGGGAAATAGCTCAGCAGCATAAGTGCCTGCCTGGCAAGCACAAGATCCTGAGTTTGAAGGGCTGGCTATATAGCTCAGTGGATTAAAGCAACTGCTTAGGCAGACACAAGGACCAGGGCTTGATCCCTCCAGCGAGTGGCCCAGTCCAGCCTTGCCCCCGGGGCATGATGTAACTTCAATTGAGACTGGGCATAATGGTGCTCACTCGGTAGACCCTGTACTAAATGCATTAAAAAAAAGTAAATCTTGAGTTTGATTCCTGGTACAAAAAGAACACCCCTTTTTTATTTTATTTTATTTTATTTATTTTTTTTGTGGAACTGGGGATTGAACTCAGGCCCTTATGCTTGCCAGGGAAGCACTTATTTCACTGAGCCATCTCCCCGGCCCCCCGCTCCTTTTTAAAGTATTTAGTAGAGGGTCTACAGGGTTCACTACACAGATTGGACTCTTAGTGATCCTCCTGTTTTCAGCCTCCCAAGCACTGGGATTACACCACACCCAATCTCATTCGCAGTCTCAGTGCACCCCAGGTGGGAAGGGGTGCGGGGTGGGGGTAGGGGATGAAACCCAGGTCCCTGTGGCCTGCCTAAGCAGGTGCTTTAGTCCACTGAGCTATCTGGCTGGCCTTAAAACTGTTTTAAAGAAAAGTAGTTTTAAAAAGGAAATACCATAGATGTTTTAGGAAAATCTCTCTGTACTAACTTACTTCAGTTGGAGTTTTCTTTTCTTCAGATAAAATACTAAGTTATTCATTTGCCTAAGTGGGGTGTTCAGTTGAAACAAGAGGAAGAAGAGACCACAAGGCTGGGGCAAATGCTCTAAGTCAGGGGTTGGCTGTTCTATGCCATACTGTGCCCAAATCTAGAGTCCGGTCCCTCTTACCCTTACAAACATAATGAGCAGAACTAACCTTGAATAGGATGATTATAATAACAATCAAAACCAGAAGGCCACCTACGCTGCTTCCAATGATGAGAGGCAAAGAATGGTATACTTCATCTTTCAGCAAGATGACTGTGATCTAGACAATACAGAAAGACCATCCAATCAATCACATAAAGCAAAGGAGTAATTCCATGGTATTTTAAAGAGCAAAATATGAAACCCTGGCAACATCCTGTGTATTGATCAAGACCAATGACAGTAAAGCTAAAAGCCAAACATCCCTTGATGCAGCATTTTAGATTATCTAAAATCATCCAGTGATCAAAATCCTTAAGAAGCCATTCTGGTCTTTGATGTAGCAGAGCTAGGTCTATTAAAAGTATGACCTTGAATCAAAGATGCTCTCACAGTCTGAAGCAGAATCCCATGTCACTGGAAACAGAAAATCAAGATTCTATATCCAGCTATGCACCTGCACGTCCCTGAGCCTTTACACTCATTATCTTAAAAGTGATGGTTTATTTTAAATAATACCAAAGTCTTTTCTAGCTCTGTTCTGACAGCTTTTCTGGATCTTACACAAAACCCTAGTCTTTGGTAATATATCTTCCCCACAAGAAATGTATAACAAAGGTACCAAGACACAATAATAAAAAAAAAAATTATATCCATGTGTAGTACTTGTGAAGTTCTTCTATTAAGTCATCCTCAAGTTTTGTTTTCCAAAGATGTTTTCTCAATTTTAGGAAACTAATCTCTCACTGCCAGGAATCAGCTGGAAAGCTCAGGGGAGGTGCCTTCCAGTTGAGACTTGGCTCTTCTGGGCTGTGGCCAGAGCATGTTACCAGGATTTAGGTAGGGCCAGAGGGTCATCGCAACTGCTCTGCCCAGAAGAACACCATGAGTTGGTGAGTTCAAGGCCAGCCTGGACCTTTCTTTCTTTTTTTTTTTTTTTTGGTGGAACCAGGAATTGAACTCAGACCCTTGCGCTTGCTAGGGAAGTGCTTATTCCACTGAGCCATCTCCCCAGCCCCTCTTTCTTTCTTAATTAAAATAAAGTTTATTGAAAACCAACTGTACTTCCATTTCAGGGTGCCAAACTAAAAACACAAATCAATTCTCAGCCTTTTGGCTAGGATAAGTGTAAAACAAAACACATTGTTTTTAAGAGTATTAAAATATGAAATAGGGCCAGGGATTTAGCTTTGTGGTACAAGTGCCCGCCTGGTAAGCACAAGTTTGATTCCTAGTATCAACAAATAAAAACAACAACAAAAATAAAATACAAAACAGTAAAAA